ATATATTTCTTTTAGACCTCATGTTTCTTTGGATAAAATCCGTTTCAGAAAATTTAGATTTCATCCAAACTTTGCCCATCTTACTATTTCTTCCAAATTCAGTTCAATTTTGAAGATGGGGAATATCGGTCCACTCCTTCTGGTACCTCCCACACAGGGGCTTGGTCTAAATGCGGGTTATAGTTCATTATCGAACCTTACGTTCTAGTTTTTTATCTCGATGTCCTCCGCAGGTGAAAAGATTACAACAGAGTCATAGAACCAAACCCAAAACACAGAAGAAATCAGATAACGATTTTAATATAAACCAATATAATAACGAATATAATATAAACCGACTATATGATACCCTTCACCACTTTGGGTATATTCAACAGATGAATTAACAGACGTCGCATTTTTGAAGGACCAGCAAAATGAAATTGGGCCCATAAACATGTCTTTCTGCAACCTATACTAAATTTTTCATTTGTTCAGATATAGAGTTGATTCTTTTCAATGGGACAAAATTATGTAAATCAATTTAAAGCATATATCAATCGGATACCCGTTGATTATTTGGATACATATCAGATAAACATGAGGAGTTTGGTGCGCCATTTACTTCAAATCGGACGAAAATATGTATAAAAGCTATAACGAAATCTAAGCCGATTTCATCGAAACTTGTCACAGAATATCGGCCATATTTTAAATTCTTGGTGCATCATTTAGTTAAAATGGGGAGAAAATATGGTAGCTCTATCCAAATTTGAACCGATTAAATAAAACTTTCCACATGCTATGTTATATAAACTATATAACTTTGGGTCTTTGGTGCACATTTTACTTAAAATCTGACGAAACTATATATATGAACTATATCTAAATCTGAACCAATTTCAATAAAACTTACCACACGTTATCTCATAATAACTTCAATAAGTTGTGAAAAATTTTGTGCCAATCGGACCCACTAGGGGAATTCGGTGCAGCATTTATATCTAACTTATAGGTTATACTAAGTTCATTACGAAAGATATATGTGGACGAAAATGTATATGGGAGCTATATCTACATCTGGAGCGATTTTCAGGAAACTTAACACACATCATTCCAGGCTTAATTCAGTTCGCTGTGCAAAATTTCGTGCAAATCGAAAGATATATAGGGACTTTGGTACCCCATTCACCTTTAATCGGTGAATGAGAGCTATATATGAGAGAGAATGAGAGCTATGAGAGCTATATCTAAATCTGAACCGATTTTCGGGAAAATTAACACACATCATTCTAGACCTAAATTGTTAGGCTGTGCCAAATTTCGTACAAATCTAAAGGTATATAGGGACCATTTACATTAAATCGGTCGAAAATATATATGGGAGTTATATCTAAATCTGAACCGATTTTTCCCAATTTCAATAGGGTTCGTCTCTGGGCCAAATAAGTGACCTATGCCAAATTTCATCCAATTCGGATCATAAATGCGACCTGTACTTTGTTTACAATTTAACATGGTCAGACGGACATGCTTAAATCGACTCAGAAAGTGATTCTATGCATATTCTTAAAAGATACCATGTGTCTATCTCGTTTCCTTTTGCCTGTTACAAACATATGTACAGAGACATAATACCCTGTACCACAGTGTGGTGAAGGGTATAATAATGTTTGGTACGGGCATGCGCTGTACAAAATACTAAATACAGCCAATTCATTTGAAAAACGTGTCCAAATGCTCTTAATACCGAATATTGGAGGGTATCGTTGTGTGGGGGCTAACCTATAACTTGGGTCAATTTAATAATTATTTTTGGTACAATACTATGTTACAGCCAATTCTGTTAAAAAAGTGTCGAAAATATCGAATATTAGGGGAGCCGTTATATGGAGGATACACCAAAACGCGGACCGATATATCCCATTTGCAATACCAACCATCCTACGAGTACTAGCAATGTCAGTGCAAAATTTCAGAGCTCTATCTTAAATAGTATGATTTCAACTGAAAAAATACTAAAATCAATATTTTGTTGTGTATCCTCGACATCCTTTGGGCATAGTTGATATTATAATATTAATTATTTCAGGCGATATTCCTTCCAAGGTTATTTTCCGGCATCAAATAAATCTTCTTTGGTTTGACAAATTTTGATTTTTGAGTTATTGTTCAACAAGCCAAGGCCAAGGGAGAACTTTAATCGCATTGTTGGGGAAACCACTCCTTAAGCACTTATATTTTTATGAATATTTGGTGTCGTTTATCTGAGAAGTTTATCTATCTCAGCATAAGGAAGCATCTTTTAATACATAATGAAACGTTCCATAATTTAATCAATATTATGGATCAGTCCAATCCCCTGTCCAAATGGGCCAGGAATCCATTTTTTTTTTTTTTTTTTTTTTTGCAAAAAGTCCATTTCATGTAGATCCGATAAAACGTTTTATATTTGAAATCTACTTTGAGCTTTACACCTGTAAAATTTTATAATATTCTGGGTCACGGTTTACAAATGACATGAGGTCAAAGTCAAAATTTCACATTTTTGTCAATATAATTTATATTTAAAAAAATTTTATATAACATTGACATGCGTCAAAATATTAACATGAAATGACGGACAATTACAGAACAGAAGGAACTGATGATTATAATGAAAATGAAAATTATCAGCAAACTTGAAGATAATAATAAAAATTTCGCATATAAAACTCATAAACATAAATTTCGCTCAAAGATGTTAGATCATGATACAAATCAATGAAAATGATTGAGGTTCGAATTGCTTCCGCGCCATGTTATTTTCAAACGAATATTTTCTCTTCTTAAACTTTCAAATAAATGTTTGAAGGGTAGGGAAAAGTCGTTAAGTTTGGGCCGAACTTTTCATTTCCTTCATCTTGTGGCGATTCCAAAATTTCACAAATCGTTCAAGATCTTTAAATTGAGAAAAAAAATTGCGTGTTATTAGGTTGAACAACATTTTTGGGATGAAAATAATTCGGTATCCGGTCTTATACCCTCCACGAACCGGAATTGCCAATGTACAGCTAAATCAAAATAACAAAATATTAGCGGCGCATTTATAAGAGGTTTTTCGTCCACCATAAGCCAATAACCAGCCACTGGATAATGTGCATACATCTTGCAAAATAAAAATGGGTTAAGATCTCTGTATGTTATGATAAAACATATATCAAAAATTTTTTGAAAATATTTTTTCGACTCCAATCAGTCATAATGCCAAATTACATCCACTTTAATAAGAAAATGAGGTTTGCACCTTCAAAATATCTTAAATTGTGCCTTTATATGGAAGCTATACCAAATCGTCGACCAATACTACAAATTTTTGGTAGAAGGATTGGACATTTAAATTACAGAACAGCCTAAATTTTAAATATTCCAAGCTATATCGTGATTTCAACAGATGAGCATATACAAATCGAATACATATACGTTATGGGGCCCTGTTGAATATTTCGGGGTTTTACAAAGGGAACGAAAATAGTCTCCACCTTATAGTAGATGAGTTAATTACATCTTTCAGTATTGTGGCAATAATTTCTTGAAGTCCACTTCAACTCCTTTTAATGATATGTTTTTAAAGGATATTATATCAAATTAAGTTCACTTGGACTCAACGAGAATTAGAACATCATTATTTTTGCGACTTATACTCCTCTCCACTTGATTTTACAGCCTTGAACTCATTACGACTATGAAAATCCTCTCAAATCAGATGATTAACATTGTCCAAATGTCATATTTCACCTTCCTCCATTTCGGATTATCCCTATGGATAAGGTGATCATTTTCCATAGCGTTAATCAATTACATATGTTGTACAGCCAAAAGGAAAAACGGGACAATTTGAAATAAATCACGGATAGTCACGTCTGGGAAAAATTCCACCTTATATACACTCATGTGTCGCACATATTTAGGGGAATTATGCTGGCAGCGACGGCGGCGGCGCATGTGTATTACACTATCATCTACCGGCTGGGCAGACTAATGGACAGACAAATTGGAAAATCATAGATGTGGACAGTGCGACAATTGTAAAATTTGGAACAGATGTGACAGACATACCGACCGAGTCGAACAAACCTGCCAAGTCAAGTGAAAAAGAGAGACACCGACTATGGTTTATTTAACCTGCAGCCAAACAACCAGCCAGTCATCCATCCATTTGACTAGGATACTTGGCGTTGGAAAAACATTTGAAAATTGTCTTTGAGTCACGTCGGCCCTGTATGTCTGTCTGCCTCTATGTACGAAATCACACCTAAAGTGACACGTGTCGTGTAGATGGGATGGGAAAAATTCCAATATTTTATAATGCAATGTCAGTGTATGTGTGTGTGTGTGGTAGTGTATGTATAGGTGTCTGTCCGCCTGTTTGTTTTTGGCTTGCCGTGTTTGTTGTTTCTATTTTTCCTTTATCCTGCGGCATCGTTTGCACAATCACCGCATATTTGTCGCCTTAGCCAAGTCTAATATGATTATCCTTCACAGTTTTTTTCGGTCCTTAGAGAAGCAGAGAGCTGACAAAATTTCCTGGAAGTTGTTCAGCTAGTCTGTTGCAAACCACAGGTGGGAAATAACGTCGTTATAAAATGTGGTCGAGTACCTGCTAACGGTCCGGCCCAGGCGGCCGATTCGAACAAATATTCTAACTGTCGCAAATACTGGACAATAAGGCTAGCCGGACGGCTGGCCGACCGTCGGGTAGGCAGGTAGGTAGCTGGATAACTGTCATCTCAGGTGATGCTAGGTAAAGGTTTAAGCTGTTTATTAATTCTTATATGACGGCAATCAAATTCTCTTGGCGTCTGCCCAATAAAATCGGAGAACGAAACTGGTGAAAGTGGGTTGGACCTTTACACAATTCGGGTATTTAATGTAGGCAAAATATTGAAATCGATATCAGTCTTGTTTGAACTCCTCTAAGGATAAGAACGACATTAAACGATCAAACGAAATAACAATAGAAATTCCGGAACAAGAACACGATGAGTGATATATACGATTATGTTTATGCCCATTCAATGGCCTGCTCCAATAGTCACCACCATTGCCGCAAGGAGCATGAAACCTATATCAACACCAACGAAACAGCCAGTACCATCAACTTCGAAGATGATACTCTACAATCGGAAACGGAAATAAATACTTCGCAATTTTCACCCAATGATCTGCAAACCTTTGTGGATAGTCTGGAAACGATTGCGCGGCTGGAACGTTCGAAGCATAATCGAAAACTCAGACGTAAACAGAAGAGATCTCAAAGGAAGAGACAAGTAACCTGTTTGGATTCTTCAACCTGTAGCAGTATTCACGAAGAGGATCTGCTAAGCAGCAGTGATGAGGAATTCTCCTCCCACGACGATGATGATGAGGGTGCGGATCTATATGATGATAAATATTTTGCTGCTCTACATGGCCAAAAACAAAGTACCGCCCTGTACAGTAATTCCGCTGTGGATAGTAGCATAAATTCCGACTCCGAAGATTCAGGTGTTTTCGTTATCAATCGCAGTATCAGCACCAGTAACGAGAGTCATCTCTATGAAAACATTCCACCCCTGCAGCCAAAATCCAAAATGGTCTCCTACTCCAAAAGTAAGTCGCTAAAAATGCGTCTAATGTCTTTGATCAAACGTAGACATGATGCCAAGGCCGCCCTACCATCGCGAGATATTTTATCATCTACCGCAATTGGAGAACTTTCGGTGGCCAGTGATGTTCCCCAAAAGGCCAACAAGAAGACGAAGAAATCGAAAACAAAGTCGTCTTCGTCGAAATCGGAAAATAAGCTTTTGGAAAAAGCAATGAGGCTGCTTACATTGTAAGGGCTACCCGAAAAAAAGAAGGATTAAAAGAAGAACAGCTGATCCTACAGATACCATTCGGATCAAAGTGATATTGAATAACCTGGCCACAAAAATATGTCAAACATTATTTGTGAGCGAACAAAAAAAATTGTTTTATTATTTTTAATAAAAATAAAAATATATATTTATATATTGGAAATATTTAAATTTAATTACTAATTTGTTAATAATCTGGGGAGGGCGATCTCTAATAAGAAGATATGTAGAAGGAATTTTCACACAGAATATTTTTTCAATGGTTGAATAGGCGTGGATTTTGTAAAGAATATTTTTTCAATGGTCGAATAGACGTGGATTTTTTAAAGATTAATTATACCCTTCACCACACTGTGGTACAGGGTATTATGTCTTCATGCATATGTTTGTTGTTCCTTTTGAGAATATGCATAGAATCACATTCGGAGTCGATTTACGCATGTCCGTCCATGTATTTTTATGAACAAAGTACAGGTCGCACTTATTATCCGATTTGGATGAAATTTGGCACAGTTCACTTATATGGCCCAAGGATGAACTCAATTGAAATTGGAGAAAATCGGTTCAGAATTAGATATAGCTCCCATATATAGTTTCGTCCGATTTTATGTAAATGATGCACCAAACTCTCAATATTTGTCCGATTGGGCCAATATTTTGCATAGCGCACTGAATCAGACCCATACTTATATATCGGTTCAGATTTAGATACAGCTCCCATATATAGTTTCATCCGATTTTTTGTGAATGATACACCAAACTCCCAATATTTGTCGGATTGAGATACAATTTTGCAGAGAGTACTGTATTAGGTCCAGACTGTAGTTCTGCTAAAATCGGTTCAGATTTAGATATAGCTTCCACATATAGTTTCGTCCGATTTTTATACCCTTCACCACACTTTGGCACAGGGTATTATGTCTTTGTGCATATGCTTGTAACAGGCAAAAGGAAACGAGATAGACACATGGTTCCTTTTGAGAATATGCAGAGAATCACTTTCCGTCTGTTTGGTGCTAAATTGTAAAATAAGTACAGGTCGCATTTATAATCCGATTTGGCTGAAATTTGGCACAACTCATTTGTTTGGCCCAAGGACGAACCCTATTGAAATTGGGAAAAATCGGTTCAGATTTAGATATAGCTCCCATATATATTTTCGTCCGATTTCATGTAAATGGTGCACCAAAGTCCCTATATATATTCCGATTTGCACCAAATTTGGCATAACGTACTGAATTGAGCCTAGAGTGTCTGCCAAGTTTCGTGAAAATCGGTCCAGATTTAGATATAGCTCCCATATATAGTTTCGTCCGATTTAAGGTAAATGATGCACTAAAGACCCTATATATCTGTCGATTTGCACGAAATATGGTAAAATGTACTGAATTGAGC